ATCTTAATTATAAGAAATTTTAAATATTGTGATCAGACGGTTTAAAATAAATAATTGTTATAATATTCACAATATGACGCAATTATACACTATTTCATAAATGATCGTTATTGAACCTTGGGAGTTGATCAGCGTCGTGAAATAGAAAAAAAACACTGTACACTTCGGAGTTTGGTCGTTATTCGTCTGTACGTCGGCACAGAGTCGAGTGCCCCCCCCCCCCCACATAATTTTCTTTTTAATATTGTCATATTTTGCGATGAAAAATAGGTAGCTTATATGAGGGGGCACACTTCATTTATATCGATTAGTGTTTGACTGCACTTATCGATATGAACAACCGCTCAGTTTAATGGAGAGTGTGAAATTAGAGGAAGTGGGCGTGTCTCGGTGGTGGACAGTTGAAGGAGTGTCTGCGAGTCTCAGCAGCAACTAGGGATAGCTCAGTCTGTGGACTTGGCTGCCGACGGGTTGATCGCTGTTCGATTAGGTTAAGAATGCGTGGATATTTGCCTCCACTCCCTCCATACATCTATATTGTGCTGTGTTTACAGGGTCTTTGTAACCTATTTTTGCAGAGTGTGTCAGGCATCTGAAAGATGACTGATTTTATTACAGAAACTGGTCGGGTAATAATTTCTAAGTTTATTTCATAATATAGTATAGCTGCGTCATATTGTGATATTAATTAAAATAATTATTATATTTGTTTTCCGTCAAATCACAATAAAATAGTAAGATAAGATAATTAAAATGATTAAAATATCATCTTATGTTTCATATCGAGCATTCGATTTACATCGGAACATTCACAACATGTTTCGGTTTTAAATAACACCACCTCAACAAATAATGTTATATTAATAATATCTAAACACAACTTCCATAAAATATACTGAGAAAGATGATAAAATTATAAAATTGTAAAAACTATAAATAATTGTAATTTGAGTTTAAAAGTTTATAATTTACACCTGATGACGGTTTCATAAAACCGAAACATGTTGTGAATGTTCCGATGTAAATCAAATGCTCGATATGAAACATAAGATGATATTTTAATCATTTTAATTATCTTATCTTACTATTTTATTGTGATTTGACGGCAAACAAATATAATAATTATTTAAGTTTATTTCGTTTTAAAAAGTGTCCATGGATTTCTGTTTACAAACTCTTTGACCCGCGGGTTCACGAACGTCATGGAATGTTGACGACCTCTGGTGTAGGAGGGTTTTGGTTGGGTTCAGTGCAAACTCCGCGTCGCTGAGATATTTCTCTGTACGTATCTTGTGGTTTTGCAGTGCCGTTGGCGACGTCTGGCGTCTCGGTATGCCAGTGGAGCAGGTCACTTCAGGGGCCCGCAGGTCGAGAGGGCTCTCCGATATTGCACCCCAGTATGTAGCCAAGGTAAGGGATTCTATCGATTTTCGTAGTGACACGAGGCTGGTTTTACGTGTGTTAAATGTTTTTGGAAAAATAATTTTAACGCCGATTAGAAAAACAGTGGCATTAATGGACATGTATTTTTTTTTTAAATTTCTGGTCGTAAAATATTATTAAGGTAGTCAAATGAAGAATGACTTGTAGTTTTGGGTAGTGGAGCAGGGGATACGTTCAGAAATTTGGTGGGAGAACTTCTTGGAACGTATTACGCGGAGAATCCAAAAATGAGAATTATTATTATTTAGTGTTCTGTCTGACGACAGGTCCATATGAACAGGATCCTTCCATCCTTTTCTCGGACTGGGACCTGTTCATATACGTTCTTGGCAGATGATCCAGAAGTGGTTTGACATTGC